TGAATTAAAATGAGTGAGTGTGCCAGCACCTTTTCGACACCACCATCTTTGCCGCTTTTTAATTGGCGGTGCCGCTTTTTAATTATTTTTTGGCACCGACAAATGCCCTGAAAATTTACAGATATGTAGTTTACATAATAAAAAACTCATTAAAAAGTTTTCAAAAAATAATAAAAATGTTTAGGCCCCGAAATAGAGTGAAAACAAAAAGTAATAATTTAAAAATTAACAAAATAGTGAGTGGGCGAGCACGTTTTGACACCCCCATCTTTGACGATTTTTGATGTTTTTTTGGCTTAGCAGAATGGCTTCAAAGTTTATAGGCGTGTAGGTTACATCATAGACAACTCACAAAAAAAAATTCAGCAAACAAAACTTATTCTTAGGCCCCGAAACATGTTTTGGCGGGGCCCGAACCTGGAGGTGTTCGGCCCCCGAACGGGACCCCGAACGCCTGAACCTTCGGGGGCCAGCCCGTTCTGTCAGGTAACCCTGTACAAGACTGTATTTTCTATTATTATTTTTGTTAATTTTTTGCCTGCAAAAAATCTCTGTGAAAAAAAAGAAAAACCCACCCAATGCACCCATTTCATACTGTTTTGTTTTGTTATTTTCTTTCGTTTATGTTTTTGATTTTTTAAAAATACAGAAATATTTCAAAACATAAAATAAAAAAAACACGGTTGTAGATCTCAAAAAGTTCTACAACCGTGTATTTTTTGTTTTGTTTTTTACTTATTTGTTTTCCAGGGAAAAAAATACACCTGCTGCTCAAGCGAGCGGGGCTCAAAAATTTGAGCTCCGACCCCGCGCTCAATCAGCGCGCGGTAACGCTGACGTGGAAAGTGGACATTCTATCTTCTGACGACATCAACATGGGTGTCAACCATGTCAAGAAACATAGAAAAACGTAGGGTGAGGGGAGCATCTATGTGGAAAAGAGGAGGCCGTAGAAAAGGAAGGAATTCGACGAAAGAGACTCTTGGGGCAAGGTAAAACCTGGAGTAGTAAAGGAGTTTAATTGATAGGAGAGGCGGTTAATTTTGTAATCGATGTTATGGATTTCAATAAGGGAACAGACAAAATCGAGTGTATGGGCTAAGTCTCTCCTCGTCTATTAGGATTAATAGTCTGCTTGAGGAAAGAGAAGGATAACATGGATTACATTTTCCTAGCTCGATGGCAGGAGAGCAAACCGGGAGGCGAAAAGACGACGGCCAGCAATGCAGTGAAAAGAGTAACTGATGTATAATACCAGGGTAATTAAAATCCCGTGACCAACACATTTAATCCGAGACAGGTCCTACAATTATACCGCAGTTATTCTTTTGCGCAGTACGCAGGCCAAGGAGCGAGAAGCCTTGTTACTGGCAGAACTGAAATTTGTAGTTTTTCGGTCGAATGAAGGCTAATAGCTCGCCATCTGCGGTGTAGATGCAAATGCTCTGGCCGCCCTTGTGCAAGTTTAGTGGAAAGAGGGAAATAGGTCCAATATCCCCAAATCTGGTAGGGATACTACGAAAACTCCCACTCCCTAGTAAAGGCCACTACTCAAACAATGGCAAGCAGAAGTCCACTCCTTGCAAACTAGGAAGCATCATGGAGTACAACGTCGCCACTTGGAAACTCAGAGGAGTGAAATTCTAGGGTCAGAACGTGGCATCCTACGTGGCCAAGTCCGTAGAGATTATTTCCTGGCTGATGCAGCAGAAATAACTAGGAATCAAATTAGAAGGGAAGACAGAGCACCTTGTGACCTTCAAACCAAGGCTGGTGGAGCAGGAGTTGCAGACCCTCCTCATGCACGAAGCAGAGACCAAGTTCTCTATAATGGCCTTAAGAGTACCACTTGATGCGTTTTATTTTCTGGAAAGCGCTGTGTTGGGGATGTCTGGAGAGATTATCTCCATGGATTCTCTGGAATATGACCATGCATTCTCTGGAATATGACAAGGATCGGCCGAAGTTGATGAATGTGAAGTTCTATATGCCACTGGAGTCCGGGGGGAGAATTGAGGATGATCCAATCACCGACGGGCGTTGGAAGGCTGAGATCGTTTCCCCATACACCGATTGGTGTCAAAGGTGTAGATGGTATTTTCATACCGAGCCCAACTGTCCAAGGTGTCAGCAGTCGGAGGAAGCATGACGAGGCAACAGCGAAAGACAAGGGGGGCACAAGGCAAGGTTTCGACAACACATTCAGATGCAGGAGCGCCTGGCAATAGAAGGAACAGAGAGAACAGGGGCCTCCCGTGCAGACCAGACACTGGCAGACAGCATCCAAGGCAGCACAGCAGAACCAGGAACAAACGTTTATTGGACAATGGAGCAGGCCATCAACCCAAGTCAGAACATGTCAAGACAGAGACTCTCCAGGGCCTGGCCAGAGACAGGCATGTTGCAGGACCGGTCCCCAGAGGATACAGGAGCAAGTTAAGCAGAAGGAAGGATGCATGGAACACAAGCACCCAGAACGAGTGAACCATCTGCTCACACGGAAGAATCTTTCAGACGTGGACAGGGGTGGGGTGACCCTCAAGAGATGGAACCAAGCCACTCACTCATGCCTCCATCATGCTCCATGGACCCCGAAGGTAGACTGGCCCTCGGGAAACACGCACGCTCCAGGATCAACGACGAACGGTGGAGAGGCCAAGTATTTTGCAGTCTTATTTGCAATGGCATGATCCTTACACGACCACCCTGACGCCAGCAATGGCAGGGAACTTACTTAATTTAGTTCTCACTACAATAATTGTCATGTATTGCTCGAAGCCTATGTATCACCCGCGGACGCAGCTGCGGGGTCAAACTTGGCGGGCGGCCACGTTTGTGGCCGCAGCCGCGGGCGGCGGCCCCAAAGTTGCGGCAATGATTTGTACGGATTTTTCCCCTGCGAAATAAAATGTAAAAAGAAATAAAAACATATGGGGTTATAGGGTTTTTTGGACCCTACAACCCCATATTTTGTTTTTTCCAAATCGAATATTTTTTGCTACTGGAAAAATAAAAATATAAAACTGTGAAAAAATCAAGAAATATGTGTGCGTGTAGCGGGGGCGGGGGGAGGGGAAGAGCCCCCACCTACCCATCAATCAATCAATCAATCAATCAATCATAACAAAAAGTGTGCAAGTGTGCGTGTATGTATAAGAGTGTGTGTGTGTGGGAGAGAGAGAGAGAGAGAGAGAGAGAGAGAGAGAGAGAGAGAGAGAGAGAGAGAGAGAGTTCATGGATTGTGCGGCGAGTATAGGCTCATTTATTCCATGAGGCGAGATTAAGGGTATCAACATTTGTTAACTTCTTTCTAGAACGCACGGTTCGGGTGCAGGGTGGCTGAGATCAAGGGGGTTGGGCGTCGGACATGGGAGCACGCAAAGGCATTCCATCAAGAGCCCCTTTCATGTATTGTACAATTCACGTTCTTAGTCGATCAGCATCCACATATAGGTACTAGAGACAAGAGAACCATCAGGAACACAAAGCAGAGGGGCGAGGAATCAGACAACAGGACCGGGACTCAAAGAAATGGTAACGAGCAAAAATAAAAAATCGATTTCATTGTTAGCAAACAATAAAGCAGATCCGGCTCGATCTGCTGGGGTGAAGGCTAACAATCTGAGAACAGGAACAGGTTTGGACTCCTCTCTTTACCAATCAATTACGGCGGACACCATGTCAAAGCCTCATAGAGGGTCACCCATGACTGCGGGAAACCAAGAGCGCACTGCCGTCGCTCTCTGCACTATGCCTTATCCACGACTCCCGATGTTGGCAGTCCCAACTTCAGAGGCTCGGCTGTCGTTGATGAGCCTAGTTCTATTTTGTCACGACTCAAGAAAACTGAAAACGGTAACCTAGTGGCAATCATAGCGGATGCAGATCAACCTCGATCCTCCATTGTTTCCTACAATGGAAACCTACCCGCTAAATCTCCCAAATCGTTCAACCATTGCTGAAGAGCCCGCTCTGTGCACAATGCCTTGTTCCCGACTTCCGGTGTTCGCAGTCCCCCGTTGTTTCCTCGTACGAACCAGAGTACTAGGGTAAGCAAGCTGATTTGCAACAACGCGTACTGCAGACATCCTCAACGCTTCGTCCGTTCTACTAGTGGTGGTGCTTGAGGAAAAGTAGTTATTCTAAATTTGCCCTTCTGGCGAACGGAAAAGCGGCGCCACAGTACTCGTTGCCTGCGCGCGGGATTGCACCGTCCCTGAACACACTTCTTCTACCAGCGCCCTGGATGACGACCATGGCTTACTTGCCGAGAGGTGTGACCGTTGCGGTTGCGCAAGGGCGCTTGCACTCTCCCAGGACACACTTCTCCCCGGCGGGACACTCACAATCCTTGCAGCACTTCTCGCACGGACCGCGGGGCACACAGCGCTTCTGTCCCTTGGGGCAGCACGGAAGCTTGCACTGTCCGTTGACGCACTTCTGCCCCTTGGGACAATCGCAATGCTTGCAGCACTTCACGCAGGGACCGCCCTTACAGCAGCGCTTCAGTCCGGGCGGGCAGCCGCACGGGGGCTTGCACTGTCCCCTGACGCACTTCTGCCCCTTGGGACAATCGCAGTCCTTGCAGCACTTCACGCAGGGACCGTCCTTGCAGCA